TTCTCAAGTACAATGGGAACATCTGGGGGAACCAAGGGCCCCTTTTAATGACAAGGATGCTCAAAACCATCTGCAATCTCACAGATTTCAAAGGCACAGAAGACCACAGCTGCCAGAACATTTCCTTCCTCAACCCCCAGCGTTTCTACCCCATACCGTACCCAGCCTGGCACCGGTACTACAGAGTGTGGGACAAAAGCCCCAATTTCAACCACTCCTATGCGCTGCACTTGTGGAACTTCATGAACCACAACCGGAAAGCTGTGGTCGCGGGCAGCAACACACTGGCTGAAAAACTGTACAGAGCCTACTGTCCCACCACGTATAAGGACCTGATCCAAAACGCAGAGCTGAGGGATTTCACACTCTCTGAGGATGCTGCATGACACAGTGTAAGGAGGAGGAGGGTGATCCTTCCAGCCCTCCCCATCACAAAACACAGTCACCAATGGTGTCAGTGGCTGACTTTGTAGCAGAAAGAATGACCTTTTCATGCCCACCGTCCCTACTCCCTTGGGATGCGAAGGACCACGTGCAGAATAGCGGGTATCCTTTGGATGGAGCTAGCAGTGACACTATGGACACCTTTGCCTCGGTTCTGTTTCCTTATCGGTGCTCATGAACCAAACTTCCCTGAATCAAACAGACTTAACAGGCCTTACTAGTGAGCTTTTCCAAGGGAAAAGTTCCTAAAGAGATGCATGGCTTCCTGGGAGGAATTTCATCTCTGCATCTCTTGGAGCTATTGGCAGCTACCCACGTCAGAAAAGTTGCAAACGCAACAGGCTTTGGACTGGGCTGAAGCCTCTGAGGCAAGTGTAATGCAAATGTATAGCAGAGGATGGATGACAGTAATTGCTACTGGAGAGAAGCCCAAACAACTGTCTTTTTAATAATCTGTGTTTTTCTCACACGAATTTACACTCTGCGTTTTTGGAAAGGACCTTACCAGTGCAAGTGAAAATAAAACGGTTAATAAACCACCACTCCTCTGAGCTTGCTTTCTCCTGCACACCCTTGGAAAATGAGTCCCATTTTTCAAATGCTTGTGCTCCTGCACTTTTACTTTGGCTCCTTTCAGGAAGGCGCTTCACTGCCCCATCCTCCAAGGTCAGTTCTGGCTGCACAGTCACACTTCCCCCTGGAAAGGAGGTGCTGAAGCACCAAGAAATTATAGGGATGGCTCTCCAGGGCTCCCAGATCCCTTTCAAATAAATGGAGTTCAACTACCTTGGAAATGAGGTGCAGCAGCTCTGGTCACCTGTGTCTAGATGTGTGAAAATCCCCATTTAACCCCAACAGGGCACTCAGTTACTTTTTTTTCTGCCATAGAGCAATGCATCCCCTTGAATTTACTTTTTTCTCAGGGTAATGCCAATCTACCCAACACCCTGAAAAGAAGCCCAGCTTGCAAATCTCTTCTGAGTCTGTCTGAACAGCTGTTTCTAACTTGGGAGCAGAAAGGCGGGGGTGGATCGGTCGCCCGTCATCGAATGTTTGCCATCTGCACCAGTGCTATCTTCTGTAAACACAGCAGCTAATGAGCATGCTGCAATACGCAGCCTGGTTTCTGCATCTAGAAATCGCAGCAGGATTAATTGGCATAGAGAGCCCTCTGCGCACAGGGTTTACATGTGCTGCGTGCTGTGTTCGGACACGGGCCTCAAGGCTCCTTCCAGCCCCATGTTCCTCCCCCAGGGTGAAGCTCTCACGGCTCAGCCCGGGGCCATGAGTTTCACACGCCAGTGCCATCCACACTGGTTTAGCTTTGCTTCCCATGCCGTCACAGTGGGTTTTCCTTGTCTATGGCTCCAGGAGCTGCTTTTCCTCCACGACTTGGGCTTTCCGGGCTGTGGGGAGGCAGGGCAGTAGTGCAGGGTTACAGCCCTCGAAGTCCTTCCTTTTTCCTGCACAGCTTCGGACAGCCCCCGCTGCCTCTCACTGCCCACGTTCGTCACTCCGCTCCCATCCACGTCCCCTCTCTTCAGTTTCTCTCTCTGTCTCTGGCAACAAGTGAGTATTTGCCTTTTTCTGCCCTGTAGCTCGACTCTCCAGGCTCCCCTCTCTGGGCAATGGCTGTGTCCATGGAAGGGAGGGACGGGGCTGAAGGACGGGCAGAGATTTGACCCACTCGAGCTCCCTTTGCCGATGAGCTCAGGCAAGAAACATTTCCGAGGCTCTGCTGCGTTACAGCTCCGCTGCAGATGAGGTCTGCCCCTGTCTGGCTTCTCTCCCGCCTGCATGCACAGCTGGGACTTTTAGCAAAGCAGGGCTGATGGCATCAAGCACAGCCAACCTCTCCGAAGGTCTCGCATGGGGGGTTCTCCTGCGCCCACCCTGTGTGAGTCCCAGGAGCTTATGTTTCAAGTGGGAGGAGAAGCTGAGAAGGGGAGGGAGGTGGTGGCTGGTTTGGGGAAGGGTCTGGAGGAGGTGGGGAAGCGGCTCTAGCAGGTCACGAGCAGTGTCTGGGACTCCTGACTCCTCTCTGCTTTGTGGTAAGGCACCCCCCAAAGTTTACAGGCTCCTCGATTGGCAGGGGAGCAGAGGGATTTTTAGACCTTGTAGGGAGTGAAGAAACCTTGAGGAGTCCAGGAAGGTGAGAAGGGCACCAGAGTGGCGGTGGGGTAGGAGGAAGCAAAGAAAGATTTCCCTGCCAAAGGCTGAGGATTGCAGGGAAAAGGACCATGCAACAGCCTGACCCAGCAACTGTGAGCTGGGACACTGTCTGCCAGCCTGGGAAATGAAAACCCATCATGCTTTCTGAAAGCAGCTCTACCAGCACTTCAGTGGAGTTGTTTTTTGTGCAGTGGAGCGGAAATGGTGCCAGTGACCACCTTCAGCTCTAGGCTCTGCTGGGTGGTACTAACTGCTACCTCTGTGACAGACCTGCACCTCTCAGGACTGATGTCCTCATCACACAGTGGGAAAAATCTCAGTCCTGATGAAGGAATACCAACATTTCCCTTGTGGGTGATAAAGATGGCTTTTGCCAGCAGCTCCATCACATCAGCTCCTCTTGCATTACATTGCAACATGGAAGTCAAAATACTTTTACTGCTTTACACCACTTGAGGACCCATCCTAGGTAAATGCAAGTAAGAACTGAAGAGAAGAAATAAATCTTCAGAGCTGGGTTTCCAGGTTACATATTGCAGTGGTTTTACTGTACCAATATCCCACTGAAGCCATGGCTGCACAACTGGAGACATATATAGCATTTTGTAAGAAATGGAGGGGAAAACCCAGGAGGCTCCAGCACCCACAGGCACTCCTGAAGCAGGCGATGGGGCAATCACAGGGCAGCATTGACGGCCGGGTGAGATACGGCTGGCTTTGGTGCGTGAAAACCTTGTTAATATTAACCAGGTTGTGCACACAGCCTACCCCTGGGGTACGCAGTAGATAGGGGATTTTAATTAGTGGTCCCTCCAAACCCCTCCTCTTTAGGAGTGGTTATTCCATACAACAAAAGCTCACCTGCAGGGACCACGCACCATTACCCAGCAGGTCTATGTAACATGCAACTATGAGTCAGGGCTGTATTTACACCCATATATACACATACGTGTATATATATATGTATGCATGGGTATATATGTGCTTTGCTTGATGCAATGAACTGGGTTGTTTGGCATTACAGTGATGCTAACAGTATATATATATATATATATATCAATATATATATCAGAGCAGTAACAACAGTAATGATCATTGCTGGCCATACAAGCCTGGAAGGCAAGGGGCTTGCTGATCTGATAGGCACCAAAAAGATAAAAAATTAGCAAACCCTAGAGGGAAACTGCTTAACTACAATGTCACACTGATCCACAGCCATTCCCAGAGGCTTTCATGCCTTGTATGTGCCAGTGTGCGACCTCCTCCTAGGTTAGCTGCAGCCCTGACTCAAGGCTTTCCTGTTTCCTGATGTACTGAGGCAGTGGAATAAGAGAGAAAAGGGTGAGAAAGAAGGGAGGGTCAGGTAAAACTGGTGTAGAGCTAAAAAGTGCTTAAAAGAGCCACCCAGCTTGATCCAGACTGCTTCAAAGCAGTTGTGGACCCCTAGTATTTAAATGCAACACAGAGAGGCCCTGGTGAGAGATGGAACTACAGGCAAAAAAGGTATTTAGGTGCCTGATGAGCTGTTTTAAACAGACCAGAGAGAGGCAGAGATGTTTAGGGACTTACACATGGCAGTTATTAGCAGCGGAGGAGCAGACACTCTGAGACCCGGAGGAGACTGCAGAGTTGGCAGTGGGTCCAAATGCAGCTGAGCTGGACTGAGAGCAAACCATCCTTCCAAGGAGACAAGAAGCACCATGCAGATGAAGCAACCCTGGCAGTGAAGGTAGCAAAGACCTTGGGGTAGGGGTAGAAAAACAGTCCCATGGGCTGGAAAATGCTCACAGGCTTGCAGACCCCACCTGCTGCATTAACCAGCTCCACCCTGTGCAACGCCCAGTAATCCCTGGGAAACCGTGTGATTGCTCCGGCATCAAAAAAAGATGAGGACAGGATCATTTTATCCCCCAACACATGCAGGCACCATGAAAAGTGTCTTTGCTAGGCTCTCAGTTGGAAAACCCCTGCATGCAGAGCTGGTGCAGCCCAGCAGCCCCCTGCCCTTGCTCTGCCCACGCCACCATCACCCTGTGTGTCTGGTAGGGCCTTGCCCTGGAGAAATGTAAGTGGGAGGTTTTTGAGGACTGAAATTAGATAAAAAACCCTGATTTGGATACTCTGCTGCTGCAAACAGGCAGTGATAACCGCTGCCCCCTGTTCCTCTGAGTCAGTGGAGGAAAGCCTAGGAAAGCTTTGCTTTCTTGCACCATGCACACTGTTATTCAGCATCTCCCTGGGTTGCCTGACCCTGCTTGTCCTCATCTCGGGAGCACAGAAGGAGCTGCAGGCTCTGCAGGAGGCACGGGCGTGTGCCGGGCAGCGGGCTGGCTGTGACTCGTGTTACCACCGTACACAGCACACCCAGCAACACACCAACACTGCTCTGGCTGATCTGCTCTGTGTCCCAGGGCGCCCAGCCTGGGGGGGAGCCCAATCTGCATCCAAAAATATGGTAAGTGACCTTTCAGCAAAGAGCATTTTTTAAAAAATGACGTATCTTAAAGGTGGTGAGTGGGTGCAGAAGAGGAGAAATTATAACGTGGGGCAGCAGTAAATCCCTAGCTGGAGACTAAGAACAACATAGGTCTATTTCATAGATTTAAAACTATGTATTTAAACTATCATTTTAGTTTTAATTATTGTTCAGGATACAGCTAGGCAAAAAAGCAAACACCACTTCTGGGAGTGCTCTAGGTTTAGCTCAGAGCAGGGCACCATGGAAGGCAGCACGCTATTATATTAAAACATGTCCAGTGTTTACTGTGTATTGTTTTCAAAACAGGCTAATTCTGTTTCCCTAAAACAGGTACACTCAGGAGGGATTTACAAGTTCATTCAGAATGGGTTATTGCAAAGTGTTCCAATGCGACACTTTTAGAAGTCTCCCTTACCAAAAGCAGATGGTGAATAAACTGGCAGAATTTTTCTTTTTGTGGAATTTGGCAAAGCAGTAGATAGCAGTTCTGGATGGGAAAGGGAACGGAAGGGTTTTTTATTTGCTGCCATGTAAGATAAGCTCTGATCCGCTCCCCTGTGCCCGTGGCGTGTGCAGGCTGTTGGGGGCTGCATCTGAGCCAGAGGATGACTGTGGGGTCAGCCCTGACGCATCCCTTTTGCCTTCCAGCACTTTTCTGCAGACTCACTGCACCAGCCTGTGCCTGGGGCTGCAGGGATGCCAGGGGCATTCCCAGGACTCACCATCCCAGTGGACATCCCCCCCTTCCACTTCCAGACCCGCCGGGTCAGCGTGGACTGGCGTTGCTTCAGTGCCATCGATGTGGAGCGGGTGGCCCGGGAGGTGGACGTGGCCGCGCTCCAGGAGCACATCACCGGTGTCACCTTCTGTGACCTCGATGGGGAGCGGTGCCCCCACTGCGGGCAGCCGGTAGACCCCATCCTGCTGAAGGTGCTGAGGATGGCCCAGCTGAGCATCGAGTACCTGCTGCACTGCCAGGAGCGGCTGGGGACCAGCCTGGCCACGCACGCCCGGCGCCTGCAAGCTGCCCACGCCGAGCTGGCGTACACCCAGCAGCAGGTGGCAGAGCAGGAGGTGCAGCTCCGGGGGGTGAAGGAGGAGAACAGGAGGTGGAAGAAGCTGATTGCCATGCAGCAGCTCCTCCTGCAAGCTGGCCCCCACACCTACTGCAAGGTGCGTGGTGGAAAGGTGTAAGAGGTGCAAAGCACATCCCCGTGCAGAATGCTCTTTGCTGCAGCACCCTGCCATTGTAGCCTTGCTGTGGTTACACCTTGGCCCTGGAAAAGGTGCTGGCAAGCCCTGCTGCTTTGCCTGGCACTGGTTCATCACCTCCATGGAGATGCAAAACCCCTCCTAGGGAAGCTCCCTTTTTTGTGCTAACTACAGGTAGTCAGAGCTGCACAGAGTGTGAGACATAGGGTCTGTAGAGGGCTAGCTGGGGAGGGCTCACAGGATGCCTGTGTTCTGCGGGGACACTTCATGCCAGGGAGACTTTAAACATCCTCAAGACCAGTGAAAGATTTGTGGATGCTCCTGAATTTGGTGCTTATTTTGCTTTTCAAGCCCTCCAAGATTTTCCCACCCATTCAGAGGAAGCCTACTGCCTGTGCCTTTTTGTCTGCTGTTTCTCCATCATTGAATCAACCTGCTCACTTACTCCTGGAGAGTAAAAGCCACCCAAACCAGGTGATTCAGGTGCATGTAGCCTAGTCATCCCCACAAGTACAGTTATCCGTTCCTCCAGAGCCAGAGCAGGACCCTGTTATAAGCAGGACCTCACTGCTGCTTTGGCCACCTTATTGCTGGGGAAAGCAGTAATTTTTTTTTCACCAAGAGTATCCCTGCATCATCTTGGCTTCTGCCTTCTCCTGACCCCTGAAAGGTTTTTTCTTTGGCTTCAGACAGAAGAAACTCCTAATACCCTTTGCCTATGTATCTTCAACATGACAGCCACATCTCTTGATGTCTCCCCTTTTGCTTTAAAGCAGCAAAGCTTTGTCTGCCAGGCAGGGGACGTGGGGAGTTCCCCTTTCTACACATGCTGGTTCCTCTGCTGACTTTTGCACCCTCCCCAGTGCTACCTCTGTGATAAAGCCTTCATGAACGATTCCTTCCTGCAAGCCCACATTCAGCGCCGGCACGCAGAGGTCACCAAGGCAGGTGAGCACTGGGACAATTTCTCCCTTCACTTTCCTAGGCAGGTTTTCCCCCACTGGATGTAGGTGCTTCAAACCAGAGTGACCATAAGAGGTTAAAGACAACTTCTTATAAATTCCTTCTTCTTCTCCATTTCTATGAATATTGACTGAATTCTTTCTGCTTGCTGCCTTTCCCTCAAGCACAGGTAGGACATACAGTCAAGGCTGCATGTGCATTTACAGCTCATCTCTGTGCCTCAGTTCCCTAAGGATCTTCTTCACCCAAAGATTCCATGTGACCATGGGGATGGATCTACACTGAGGAGTTTTGGAGCATGTTTTGCTAGTGTGGGAGAGGGATTCACCTTCCTCATGCCCCTTCTTTGGGAAAGAATTGATGCTCCTTCGTAAAACATTCTGAAAGCTGCAGGTGTAGCGTGCTGTGTGAGAGCTGCGGAGCCTCCTTACAGCTTCACTTGCACCCAACTCTTGAACTTGGCAGATAAAAGCTGCTGTTGCTGTTTGCTGGAAGGTTGAAACGCCAGCCCAGGGCTGATGCAATGCAACAGGTTGAGCTTTGCTCCAGAGGCACCTTTCCCTGTGCAGCCTGAAATGTCCAAGCAGGGCACTTCGGCTGCTGGAGAGAGCAAGCCCTGTGCAAAGTCACAGTGCTCCAGGAGCTGCTAATCCCTCCAAGTTTACAAAAATTTAAAATATCTTTTTAAAAAAAATCAGAGGCCACATTTATCATGTTTTTTTCCTGCAGCTCAGCTACTTACTTCTCCACCCTGAAACCTACAGTGGTTTTGCTTGATGCTTTAGTAGGATTCTGCACCCCACCCAAAGCAAAATCCTAGTAGGAGCCGTCAGATCACTACCCTTGCTTACAGCACCTCTGTTCCCCTGAGATTTGCAGAGAGGCAGAAGACAAAGCAGGTGAAGCAAATGGAGCACGAGGTGGAGGAGCTGAAGGTGAAACTGCAGGAGGCGCAGCAGCAGCTGGAAGTGGAGAGGGAAGCAGAGAAGATGCGCAGGGAGCAGGTACAGTGCGAGAGCACCACTGCCTGTTGGGAAAAAATAGGGAGAAGAAGCGATGAGACATGGGGTGTTTTTAAAGCACAGGTGAAAAAGGTGCTGAAAAATATTTTATGGTGGGACTTGTGTTTATTTCTTCAGAAAATTTGCCTCCAAAAATTCCCATGGGAAATGTCACATGGAAATAAGGACTGTGTAAGTGTGCCTGCCCAGGAGGCTGTGCTGCCTCAGCCACCCCGTGGTGTGCCCACAGGCTCTGACAGTGATGGTGGGAAGAGAGCGTTAGCATTCATCCTGCTGGCACCAGGACAGAAGCTCCAGCCCTTGGTGCTTCTGCTCTGCAGCCAAGATGTCTCCAGTCCCAATTTTTCCACTCTCTTTAGGAAATGGAGAGAGCTCGCCAGCGAGAAGAGGAGGGTAGGAGAGATTTGGAAAGGTGGAAAGAGGAGAGGACAAAGCTGCATGAAGAGATAGATGGCCTGAGGCAGCTCTTCCTCACAGCGTTCAAGGACCTGGCCAGCAGGAGCAGTGCCGTGGAGGGGGTGAGCAAGTATCCCATATGCTCCTCAAGGCAGGCAAGGAGATGTCCAAGGAGATGGACCAAGTGGCATCACAGGTTCACAGCCCAAAGAGGCCACTTTTGGGGGTCAGAAGCAGTGACTGGACAAGGAAAGTGGAACCTTCTGAGGAACACACAGCTCTCTCCCCACTCCAGAAACTGCAGGAGCTTCAGGCCAGAGAGGTGGCGGAGTCCAACCTGGGGACCCTGCAGGACGATGACACCGAGGAGGCACGGTGGTGGGCACCAGTCCGGGCAGAGCTGCAGGGCAAGCAGGAGAGGGTGTCAGTGCCGGTGAGCATTGCGGTACCCATGTCCTTACCCCTACTGTGCATCCCAGGACGTGAGTTTGGATGGAGATTGACCCACACACCTCTGCATGCACCTGATTTACGTTTGTCTGGTCTCAGCTCAGGTTCAGTTATCAATGGGCTGCTGCTGGTGTAGAGCACTGACAATCCCAGTCCAGAAATGGGACCTGGGGGGGTGCAGAGGGCATGTCACAGTCCCAGGTCAGCCCTGCTTACTGCAGGGAAACCCGTCTTCACCAGAGCACTGCAGATGGTCACCATATAGAAAAGCACTTAAATAAGAAAAGGGAATTTATTTACCCATGCATCAACCTCCTCCACAACTAAAAGCATCTGAAGAATGCTTTACTGTGCATGGTACCTCTGAGCATGGAAGTGAGTTGGGAACAACACTGCCATTATGGTGCCAGCTTTCTTTTGGGACCCAAAGGGAAGTTGAATTTCACTGAGCATGGATGCAATCGGGTGCCCATAGCCACAAAAAAACCCAATTTACAACCCAGGGAGGGAAATGTCTGTGTTTCATTTGACAGAGGGCAGAATGGAGGCAGGCACTGAAGGACCTGTGGAGGAAGAACCACACACAGGAGCTTCAGGTAGGTGCTAGATGTCCTTGGCAGCTCCCAGGCACTTCATTCAGAAAAGGCCTTGTTTCCTTTATGGTTCAAAACCCAGAGATGTTAGGTCACTTCAGAAGAACTGAGGATGCCCTCTCTGCAGATCAGTCTGGCAAGTGGTAGGCAGAAAGAGCAGGACTACACACTTTAAATGAGCCTTGACTGGACTTCAAAGCCCAGGGCAAGAGAGTGTAGTTATGTTATTACAGAAAGAATAAAGGAAATGCAGCAACCAAAGCTGTGTCCTATCATGGCTGATGAGAAGACACAAGCTTGCCACCAGCAGACTTTGAAGCTGGCTGTACATCTTCTGCAAGGCCAGATCTGTCCTTTGGAGGACATCTCAATAATGAATGGAAGTCCAGAGAGCTGCCCTTGATGGCGAAGGAAGAGGTGGCTCCAAGTCCATTTTTACAATGTTCAAGTCTTCTTGTTCCTTTTTTGCCCCTTTCTGTTGAAGAAAGAGAACAAAACACTCCATGTCGCCCTATCCCAGGACCAGTGGGCATTTTTGGACCATGTCCATCAGCAGATGGATGCCCTCAGCACCCATCTCGGGAGCAGCCCAGGGTCTCAAAGTCGCAGGAGAAAGCGGCAAGTGAAATAAAAAAAGGGGCCTTGGTTCATTAAGAGGGTTTAAGTGGTTGTTTAAGCATCATTAAAATATTTCCTGAGTTAAGACTAAGCCCAATTTCAAGCCCATTCTGTAGTGCTTTTGGCTCTTTTTTACACTAATTAAACACAAAGCATTACATAAATATAATCAGCACAAACCATGCCCACTGAGATGTAGATCATCAGAGAAACACTTTGCATGGCAGTTTGGGTCGTCTTTTACTTGTTATGAGATCCATGAATAGCACATGAGGTATAACAGGATGGCATCTGGTGTGCTAGTGATCTTATTATGGAAAGGAAAGCCCCTAAGATGGCCCCTTGCAAGCATGGTCTGCTTACACACTTGAGGAGTGTATGTGTCCACTTAAGGCTCTTGCTATTTTCTGCTCCTTTTTTGAATGCATTTAATAATAATAACTCTGCAGAGAGAGGAAAAATTACCAAAAATTAGAGACAAAGAAATGATCTTTGAATGATGCCTTGTCTGTTTCATTACAGATCAATCTGGTCTCTGCAAGCAAACCTGAAGGTAATGACTGCATTTTTAAAGTGAATCAATTTGAGTCTAGATAAATTTTTCATAGCTAACAGCCCTTCAGAGCAAAACGTCTTCTCTGCATCCCTCTACAAAAGAGTGCCATGAAAAAGCCTGTCCAGGAAAAGCCTCTCCAGGGAGTTGGCTGTATGTCCTCTCACATGAAGCCATGGAGTGGACACCTTCCAGTACCTTGACTATCTGATGCAACAACAGTGACCAGTTCTGGTCGCTGGCACAAGACTAATGTGTCCCTTGGGTGCGTTTTTTCATTGTAGCCATTCCCCAAAGTAATGGGATTTCAATCAAGCACTCACAACAAATGGATGACCTTGCCTTCTCCAAAGTGATGCCAGTGGTTATTTGCATAAAAATAAGGAGCTAAGGCATGCTTTGGTTTCTTCTTTATAGTCTGGGTTTTCTATAATCAAGTGCCAAGGAAAGAAAGGAGACTTTCCTGTGGCGCAGTCACAGACCCAGCCAGGTGCTGCTGCTCAGAAAACAAAAAAAAGGCCATAAAACAGGGATGGCTATTAGCAAATACCCAAGGGGTACATCGTTGACCTCAGTCCTGAGGGGTAGATGTTTACCCACTGACATCCCCCAGTTGGTGGCCTTGGCAGGCGAGCACCCCAGGGTTTCCCTCGGGGATGTTCTCTAAGGGCTGGTGCCAGACCTGGGCCAGCCTCGGATCCCCAAAGGGACAGGTGTGTCCATACTTTCCATATAGGAAAACCAGGTGATGATCAGTGCTTGTTTCTGTACTGTGGCCTTGGCTCCTCTTTGACCCTCACAGGCTCCTTTCTTCCCTGCAGTGACCCGGGAGGTGACTAAAGCGGTGGCTGATGAAGAGTCATCAGGTGGGTGCCAGAGTTGTGACCGTCCCTATCCCCAAAACAGCAGGATGAAGCTGGCGTTTGGCTTGGGGTGTTGTTCAGTGAGGATGAGGGGGCGCTGGGCAAAGCTGGTGGTGCTGAGGTGGTGGGCTGAGGGCAGAGCTGGTGAGCTCATTGGTCCCCTCTCAGCTGGGAAGAGTACAACAGCACCATGACCAGCCCTGCTGCCAACACGTCACCAGGGAAAGCTGCTCCAGGCAGCTCCTGGCTGTGGGTGGGATTTTGCAAAGTAATTTTTGTGGGAAGGAGTTGATCAAGTTAGAGGTGGAAGTGTCCCCTTCATAGAGAGATGTAGTTGCTGAGAGCAACCAGTTGCTTGCTCTGGGACTGATCAGACCCATGTCCTCAGAGAGGAGAAGGGTCCCACCAGCCCCTCCCAGGGCACAGCCCGTATGTCGCTGCACTGGTACCAGCACCCACCTCTACTGCAGACAGGAAGGAGGCCACCCTGAGTGGGAAGCAGAGGCTGCTGGAAGCTCTGCAGAGAAACCCAGACCTCCTGAAGCAGTTTCGCCCCATCCTCGAGGAAGTGCTGGAAGAAAAGCTGGAGAGTATGGGGGTCAAGAGGGTAAGTCTGTCCTTTCAGTGCCAGCATCTGCAATGCCAGCCCCAAGGCAGTGCAGGGACACAAAGACTGCTATGAACTGTCTTGTTTTTCTGGGGGGTGGCAACCGAAACACTAACAGGCATAAAAAAATCCTCACCTGGAGCAATCACATCCTGAGAGGCAAATGGGAAGGTGGAGGCAGAATTGCACAGCAGCACAGGGTATAAACTGCTATAGTCCCATCTCTGAGGTTGGTCATCAGCATGTCTCCAGCAAATCTTTCTCACAAGCAGCCTTTCATATGCTAAATTACTCAGGGCTCCCTCTCTTCTAGGGAAGGAGGGTGTTTGAGGGCACAGAAGCCCCTGTCATGGGAATTTCAAGGGGACTTTCACTGTCCAAGTCCTTTACATGCCAAGCATATTAAATAGTACTTCCTGCAAGTCTTCCTGAGCTCTGGGCAATGTAACACCACCACCTAGCACCTTGCAGAGCTGGTGCAAGGGCGGTGAGCAGGCAGGCAGCAGACAGAGGTGCTGGGGAGCCACATTGCTCCATGGAACCACATTTCTGAGCATGGCAGCATTTCTGTTTCGGGTCCGAAGGCACAGAGGGAAAGCAGTGACTGAATGACTTCTCATGTGATTGTTTCCTGAGGAGCACTTCTGGCTTTATTTCACATAGACTGGAGCCCTGGCATGTCCCCCCTTTCCCCAGCATGTTATTCACGAGCACTGAGGTGGTGTCAAAAGCAGCAGAGTTACCCAAATCCAGACCCACAGGCATACACTCACCTTCACTTCTCATCATTTTATATCTTTACAAGCACAGGACGTTCATGGTTGCAAAACTTCCTCGAGATGTAAATACTTCCCAAGAGAAAATCCTGCACTTAACCTGTAGCCTAGATATTGCCAAAAATACCTGATATTTACCCTTCAGCAGTCATTTACCAAATCAGATGATGGCTTTGCAAGTGTGGGCTGTTTGCATGGGAAACATCATGCTGGGGAAATGATGGGTGTCAGGGCTGGTGAGAGCTTCCTTGGGCTTTGAGCTTGCAAGATGCTCTCAAGATATGGGTAGTGCTGCCAAGCACTTGTTTTCCCAGCTAGTGCTGTCAGGACAATGTCAGTCTCCTCAGCTGCCCTCTGCTTTAGGTTGTGAAGGGGATCTCCACTCAGACCTACAAAAGCCTCCAGGCAATGGTCAGGCTTCAGCAGCAACAAAAGGCTGAGAAATTTCCTGGTCTCCTCCATCTGAGGGATGAGTTGTTCCAAGCAGTCATGGGGAAAGTAAGGCGATGCAAGAAGCCCAGCAGTGCTTTGCCTCGACAGCTCTCCATTATTCCAGGTGAGGTGACCTCCTGTCCTCTCTAGCTACTGACCATGGGGACCTGTGGCCACCCACTGATGGCCACGGGATGCTGTCCCCTTACCACTGGGGCAACAAGACAGAGAAGGGCAGGAAAGGGCATTTAGGGTGATGCAAGTCTCTGAGATTTCTCTCTGCATATTGACCTTACATGGGTTGGCCTGACATATTCAGGAAAAACATCAGCTGTCCCCAAATGCCCCATCAGAGTTAAATACAGGATTGGCAGTGCTTTCAAATCCCTTTCCCCCTTTTTCTACACAACCCCATGTCAGCTGGGCTCCGTGGCTTCCCCAGCTACCTGGAGGTGGGTGGGTGGTGATTCTCTTTGCTCTCAATACTGCCTTCCAGCTCAAAGCCCAAAGAACCCCAGGTCCCTTCATGGGTCACAACCCATGGCAATGCCAGCTGCAGTAGAGCCTGAAGCCTCGGTGATCCTGCAGCCTGCTCCTCGGAGCAGATCCCGCTCCACCCACAACACCACGAGGACTATCTCGGGCACCCTGCAGACCTCCAAAGCCATCAATCCCCACCAAGGACTTGTCCCACGGCAGAAGTGAGTCCATCATCTCCTTTTGGTCTCCAGGCAGGTGGACAGTGCCCAGGACCCTCAGCAACAACCTGGCCCTGAGTATGCTGAGTGCTGCCACCAGCACCTGTGGAAACAGCAATTGGTGGTGGGTGATGTGGCACCCCAGAGGGGTTTGTTTTGGAAAAGGAATTTCCTGGGTTGTCTTGTCCCTGCCTGTATGGGCTGACTCAAACAACTCAGCAAAGACAGACCTGAGGGCTTGTACCCACCATGTGGTGCTGGAGACAAATATGGGGCATTTCCCACTGGTGTCCGGCTCCTTCTTCCCCCTGCAGAGGTTCTGCAAGGGGATGGAGTTCTCTTGGGGTTTTGGAGCAAAAGTATTAAAGATGTAAAATAAAAGCTTGGAGAAACTGTGCAGACTGTGAAGAGAAGAAACAATGTAGAGAGGGTGTGAGGTGCAGAAGAGAGGAAGAGGAGCTTACCTGTGACCAAGAGCAGGTGAGGAAAAGGAGTTCCTTGTTTGCTCCAGGAGCAAGAGAAAACCAGATCCAGGTTTTAAACTTAAGCAAAGCAATATCAGGCAAGGTATGAATGTGATTATTTGTTGGCAATGTTAGCAGTGAGGTGTTTGCAGTCAGTGGATGCGATGGACCTGTCCACGGGGAATGCAGGCTTCTCCATGGGCTGCTCTGCTCTGGGCCAGGTCACAGCCCAGAGCATCACAGGGACTCTCTGCATCTGCCTCAGGAGTGGGGAAGGGGGACACAAGAGCAACCCCATGCCTGACCCACCTCTCTCTGCACCAGCTCAGAAGTGATGCTGGGAGGGAAGCAGCCCACCCTGGCCCCGGTGAGGCTCAGTCCTAAGCAAGAGCCAGCACTTCCCGCAGTGGTGCTGGGGGAAGAGACCGACTCCAACAGGCCAGACCTGGACTCACTGGAGGAAACGGCTGGTTCAGGTACCACCTGTTCATGTAGCAACTGCTGTGGGTCAGGGCAGTGGTGGGGACAGTCCTGGCTAGCACTGTCAGTGCCACTGTGTCACCTTCTTCCTGGGGCTGAGGTGGGCTGAGTCTTACCCCGCCATCTCCCATCCCCAGATGGGGCAATGGGGCACTGGTGGCTTTATTCATTAGCAACTTGTGTGCCTGACGCTGCCAGGGTATTTTCCTAGGGTACAATAAATCCTGCAGCCCTGCCTTTGTGCAGGGGGAAACCAGACTGCCTACAGGACCCAAAGGGCTGTCAGACACAAGGAGGAAAGCTTGTTTTAACTGTAAAACCCAATGTGAACCGTGTGTCAGAGGATGGTATGGGGGCTGACCCATGGCCCATCAGAAAGTTGGGGGACAGTAGGAGCCACCTCTCACCTATGCATTAACTGTGGACAGCAAAAAGTACTCCTTGCACATGACTGTGGTGTCTGCCATGCCAAAAAAGAGCTTCTGGTGCTGGTCACCCACTGCTAACTTGGGCTGTGTGTGCAGATGGAGGTTTCCTCCAGCATCCTTGCATGCACCAGAACATTGCCCACCCAGTGTTTGCTCGGGGAGGGAAATCCCCGTGGTTTGTTCTACACACAAAACATTTGCTTCCTGAAACAGCTCTGTTGGCATTGGGCCCAGCCAGCACTAGTGAGTTTAAGCTATTTAGAAGCCAACTCTCCATGGGGTGGCTGGTGGTCCCCTCCCTCCTCACCCAGCTGTGACATCACCGTGCCTTGGGGCTCCCTGTTTAACCTGATCTGCCCTGCACAGGGACAGCCACATCCACGATGGTGAGGCTCTTGGAGAGACGCCTGGATGCAATGACACAGAGACAGCCTGGCAGGCTGAAACTCTTCCCAGCTGTGAGCTCAGCATCGCCCCAAACCAGCCAACCTACCAAGAAAATCCAGGTATCTTGTGCACATGGCCACAGGGATGTTTTCTGACATAATTTCCATTAAAAAAAAAAAAAAAAAAAAAGCCATGTCATACCCTCTCCTCATTCCTACCCATCAGCACTGCCACAGGGCATAGTCTGTGTGCAGGGAGTTCAAACTTACAGCAGCAGAGGCTTGGCCCTTGGCAGCTTCACCCGGTTGCAGACGTCTGTCCTTCCCCTGATGTTTGTCCATGCACCCTCCTTGGGGGCAAAAAAAATCAGTATTCATGCAGTTGAGAACAAAACAATAAGCACCAGAGAATCAAATTGAAAAAAGGTCTCTGGAACAAATCCAGAGATAATTGGAGTGATGCAATCGCAAAATTATTAAATTACTAAAATGGGACTTAAACATAACTTCAATTTATGGGAGAGAGCTGCTGTAATTAAAATGGTGGCAGTGTCAGAATCAAAATGCTTTTTTTAGAAAAAAAATTACCCAAGGAAGGCCCAGCATAAATACTGGGAAGATTTTTTTTTCCTTGATTCCATGACACTGACATTCTAGGCCTTCATCTGGCAGAGTAAAAAAAAAATTAAAATGTGAAGCATAAGGTTTATGGGACAACTTGTAAGCCAGGTTAATAGAAAAGGGGTCTCTTGGGTGGTGTCCTGATGCAACTACATTTGGTCCTCTTTGCTCTAATTTTTGCATCAGGGTGCAAATGTGGGTTGTGGGTCTGTCCCTGTCCCTCCCCTTCCCCTTCTCTGTGCTCCTCCCCAGTTTGCCGGTGACAACAGTGACCTGGAGACCTCCTCCGTGCAGGACTTGGCCGAGCCACCACTGATGCTGAGGGGACCACCTCGGTCCCCAGAGCCCTGGGGAGCTGAGCTGCGAGGGCACACGTGTTGGTGATTGGGAAGTGACAGTCCTCTGCCAGCAGCCACTGGATGGTGCCACAAGACCAGAAACGGGCAGCAACCGCTCTGCAGCCTTCCCATGGCTGCTCCCGGGCTCTGGCTGCCCCTCTTTTTTGGAAGATCCCAACATTGGGCCTCTCCCAGACAGCACAAGGGTGTTGGGTCCTCCCTGGCCAGCCGCTGTGAACTGCACCACCGAGGATAAATGCTCATGGTCCGAAAAGAAGTGATTTCTGCTCTCCCTCCGTCATGCACACGAGCAGTAACACAATGTCCGATGGTACCATGAGCTTTTGGAGCCCAAGCAGCTCTCCCTGGACTTTGCATCCCACAGGCTGGGTCCAGCTCTGTACCAGACAGAGTCTGGCACTTGTGTGTGGCTTTTTTATTCTTTAAGAAGTCCAGAAAACAAAGTCACGGAGGAGAGAAAGCAGCTTTCCTTCTTGTTGTATCTCTTTGCCGGTGCTCCCGAGGGTAATGGAAAAGGTCTCGTTTTCTGCTCCAGGAGGAACCTGCTCTGAATGCACTTGGACAAAGTAACAGACCACAGCTTCTGTCTCCCTCCTTGCCTCCTTGAATCAGTGGAAACTCCAGCCCAAAGAATGATTTTTTGCACTGTAAACATGACCACATAAGCCTGACTCTGCAGATATTGCTTATCTGTGTAAATTAAGTTCACTTTCCTAATTCTCTCTGTATTTTGTACATTTGCAGCAGTGCATTTATGATCTTGATCCCTTAAAAGCATGAAATTTTGGAAAATGCAACAGGAAAACCTGTCAGTTCTTAATTTCAGGGTTTTTTTCCAACCACTCCATCACTGGTTCAAACTTCTACAATTCCTTATTTCTAAAATTTACATGTGGGTTTTAATGCTAGGGAGCAGAAAGCCCAAGCAGGGCTGAGCAGAACAAGATGAATTAATTTAATTTCACTGAAGAGCAAAAGTGCCTTTCAGATAACTGTTCACAAACCTGCAGAAAACCCCTGATATTTTGCAAATCCCCATGTCCTCTGATAAATGCACATTCACCTGCATGCTTATACCCACCCATATGGTGTGGCTCTATAGCTGCATACCTTGAAAAGGATTTTTTACATTTTAATCCTTCAAGTTTAAGGATATCTGGCTTGAGTTATTCATAGCTTACAGTGCTATTGCCAGATGTATTACTTCATGCTGTTTAACAACTGTTGTTCTTAGAAGGGATCTTTTCACCCCTTTCAGAGCACTGGTATTGGTAACCAAGAAAAAGAACTGAGCTTTTTACCTGTAAAAACTATAGATGGAGGTAGCAGTGAGCATTTGCTTTTGGGAGAGGGGTGATAGGAAACCTGTCCTGGCTCACACACCTCTGCCCTCGCTGTCTACCTTACAGCAGCCCTGGGCTGGGCTCTGGTGCTGGCATGGTCCAAAACCAATGGGGAAATAATTTTCTGCTCAAAAGAGCAAACAGGGCAGAAAGCAGAAACTGTTTCATGTTGACTACGTGGCAAGCTCTGGGCCAAGGCAGGTGCCTTGCCTGGCACTAAAATCTAAATCACACCCATTCTGCCGGCTGCTGACCAAACCCTGCCAGGTCCAGGTCTGGCTGCTCTGGCTGCTCCTGCACTTATTCACCTGGTGACAAGTGCAAGAATCACTTACATTCGTTTTCCCAGCATCTGTCATGCCTGAGGGGCTTTCAAGCACTGAGCTTTGCAGTGAGCTCCAAGTCCAAATGGTGTCAGAAAGGTGAGGGAAAACTTCCCTTAAGTTTAGGAAACTCCAAAAATAGCTGACAGCCTTGTGCTGAGTGAAAGGTAACGCTTATACTCTGACAAATAAATAAATACAGATACAGAAAGAGCATTTTTATTTCAGACTGTACATTTTGAGCCAGCATGTTCCATGGGAAGTTGTTCCCTGCGTGCTGAGACACACAGCAGAGGATGCGTGGTCGGCATGGAAGAGCCATGAAGATTCACCTTGGGTTATCACAGGTGATGGGCTCTGTCTCCAGAGAAGAGAAGAGGAGGGGGGGAAGTGACTCCAACGATACCAGCTCCATCAGTGTATCTTGTCCAAAAAAGAAATTTTACTCAGTATTTTTTTCCTGTTGTTGTATGGACTCTTTCCCCAGATAAAGCAACTGCTTGTCTACCTCTTTTTTAGAGTACTGTCCTTTTTTTGATGACACCAAATTGGGCCACATTGCTGGGTATGTGGCACAAGTCCTGCGTGCATTGGCACTGAGCAGAGCAAGAATGGTCCCAGTGCAAGCAGATTATTGCAGCCAGGGGAATGCAAACCAAAACAAAGCCAGAAGAAAGCACACAGTGGAAAAGAAAATCAGAACTGCAAGCAGGGACTCTTGCTCACGGCTGAGGTTAAGTAGGCAGACAGGTGTCCTGATATTTCCTTTGCACAAAGATTTGTGTCTGCATTAAGGAAACAAATTCAGCTTCTCCTACAGGAGAGCAACAATAGAACAAGAGGCACCTCCAAAATTCACAGAATCACAGAATCATCGTGGTTGTAGACCTTGAATCTCCTCCAGTCCAACCATGAACCTCACCCTGACTGTTCCCAACTCCACCAGATCCCTCAGCGCTGGGTCAGCCCGACTCTTCAACCCCTCCAGGGATGGGGACTCCCCCCCCTGCCCTGGGCAGCCCATTCCAACGCCCAACAGCCCCTTCTGCAAAGAAATACTGCCTCAGAGCCAGCCTGACCCTGCCCTGGGCAGCTTGAGGCCATTCCCTTTTGTCAGATTCGTTTGCCTCGCCCTGTAAAGATGTGATGCTGCAGCACCATGAGACAACGTGACTTTGGTAGGAGCAAAAGCAGTGGGGAGGCTACTGCAGGCAGAGGTGACCCATGCAAACCCCAGGCATCTTGCCTCATGCTGCCAGCACTTCTCAGAGCCTGACACCACATCTCTTCCCTCTCAAGCCTCTGGACCTCAGGTCAAATCCTGCCCACCAGCATGCTGTGGCTGTGCACCGCCAAGCAGAGAACAGAGTGGTGGAGCAGATTCAGGCCATGATGTGGAGCATATGTGCCTGTCCATGCTGCCCAACACCCCGAGGCTTTTCCTAAAAAGCTAAGAAAACCCCTGAAGTTTTGTGAAATGATGGAAGATGCAACCCTAGCATCATGACGTGATGTGGAGGAGAAGGGCCTGTCCAGCATCCATGCCTTTTCCTGGGCATGATTTTACCTTTCCTTCAGTGCAAGCAGCCCAGTCCTCACCCCTATGCTCTGACCTACGTCCCCCACCCAGGCCTGTAACCCCATCCCTCCATACCCAAACTGCTACCCTAAAATTCCCAAGGGCTTTTGTTTTCCACCTAATTTTTCAACCTTGTCTTGGAGGGGTTTCATTGGTCTTCACTAATTGTTGACACCTTGTTTCTCCTGTCAGTCAGAAGTGACTCCTTTGGATTCCTCCCGTCTGGAGTCTCTGGGAACACTAAAACGAGTTCGGAGGCAGCAAGATAAAGAACTAGCCAATTTAATGAAGGAGAAACCACACAAATCTGGGTTTCTCTGTGAAAAGGGGACCTTTGTAATACTACGACAAATTAAAGGGTTGGTTTTCACAAACACCACCCCAGCGGATGCCTGCACAACCAGCTTCCAGCTTGCAGGTACTGTAACAGGACAACAAATGGCCATAGGCAGGATCCCCTTCCAACAGGGGCAAAGCAGCCCAGCTACACTGAAATCAGTGGTCAGGCCCTTACCAAGATTTTAATCCCATTGGAGTCTCATGCTCTTCAAAATAATATATTTTGAGTTTTGTTTTTCTCAATGACTTTTGTCTTTATGGGGCTCCAGTTATTGGTAATACTTTCATAAAACATGAATATGCATGGGACAATTAGTAGATATTTAAACCACAACACTATCAATCTCTGAATGCAGCACAACACTCCCGAATAGTACCAAGCTGAAAAAAAATAAAGGAAAAGAAAAATCCTATCAAATTTATTCAACTGGAATATCTCACCCAGAAGCTATTCTCCCATAATATTTGGGGCAAGCACAGTGTCATAAATCTTAGTGCTATTAATCCGTAGACTCATTCATCTCTGTTCAGCTATATAAAAGCAATAACCTTGTCACTATAGGAAGGAAGATTGGGCTTTTAATTGCATATAGATTTCAGGAGAGTTCTTATCTCATAGTCCAATTTGTAGCTTCAGATATGCGTCTTTGCTTCCCTTGGTCAAAGTCCATGCAAATCCGCCGTGCTCTCACATACTTAGAAATGTTGCAGAAGCTCAGAAAGAAACTATACAGAGCTCTTCTGGCAGATAATACACACAGCCTTTTCAGCGTTTGCTTTATTAGACAAGCCTACATTTAATTAGCTCCTCTGAAACGGGATATGCATTTTTCAGAGTGCGGTCAAATTTATGGAAACAAAACCATGTCTGAGTGCAGGCACATGTGCACCCACACACATCACCAGTCACAATTTCCTTGACTCATCTCCCTCAGCTCTGCAGGTCCTACCAAATGCATCCTTTTCCCTGCAGTTTATTGTCAATAAAGGCAAAATAATCAGGGGAGGGTGGGGGGTGTCTTCCCTCTCTCACAGTAAAAATGGCAGGAGGAAACACTGGATTTATTTATGGGGCCAGGAGATCTGCAGTATCTGCGTTCTGGCTATTTCCAGGCTTTACTCAGCCAAAGACGCTGAGTAGAGGCACAAACCTCCTTGTTGCTGTTGCAATGGGTCAAACCAGCAAGCTCAGTTCAGCCCAGCAAATATTTAAGTGCTCCTCCCAAACAGCTGGGCAAGATGGTGAGGCTTTGCTCTGCATGCCTTGGTACGACACCCTACCCTCCACAAGTTTCTGCCTGCAGGGTGACCAGGTGAGAGCTGAGTGTGCTCCTTCGAACAGTTACACTGAGTTTCAAAGCCTAAATTCACACCTTTTAGAGGGTAAAGTGCCTCCCTGCAGTGCTGGGGAACTCGGCACAGCGTGGCGTGTAGAGGCTCTGTTTTGGGTGGGGGGCTCCCAGGGTGCTCCCCAGGCAGCGTATGGACCAGGCATCACCCCTTCCCCTGCGGCTGGCACTCAGCACCACGGACTGTGGGTGTGGCACAGTGTTCAGGTCCTTGGGATATGAGAGCACTGGGACATGATGATCTGCCACCAAGGCAATGATGGGACATCCTGGGAGGGGCTCGGATCTCATTTTTTTCTCAAAATCCAAGAAATAATTAGGGTATCCTCATTTTTCTCAACTCGTGGGGCTGCAGAGGAAAGCCTGGAAATGGGAACTTCGCTCTCGGTAAATACCTAGAGCTTTCCCTAAGCAAGTGGTTTCAGCTGCAGGACTTCCAGGAGACAGATCGGTTCAGCTGAAAAGGGGATATTTGGGTCCACATCTCAAGACAGGGAAACACCGTGTGCTTTCTACAGCAGGAACCACAGCTCTGTGGCCGCAGGTGCTGGTTCTCTCCATGCTGCCATGCCCCTGATGCACAATGTTCATCACTCAACATGGTGCCCACCACAAGATAAGGTCCATTATGGCCAGAAACAGAGGGGAGCAGCTGTAATATCAGGTGTTATTACACCACAAACAGGCACATAAATGAATGATTCTCTGCTTCAGAATGAGATTTTTTTTCCAGTAAATTTCGCTGCATTAAAATTTTTCATACTGCAAGTTTTCGGCTGAGGTAAGGAAATGAAAACTGATTTTGGAAGATTAGGAATCCACACACTGGCACACATCAGAGTCAAACCAAGAGATATCTGGCTCAGTGAGTTTGTCAGAGTATTTGTGTTGCATAAAAATAAAATGTAACTTTCAAAGGCGCTTCGTTATGATTTTATGCGTGCACCTTATTTTGTTCTAATGCAGTCGGAAACTTGTATTTCAAATTTTTCTGGGCATTTTTCTGTATTTTTCATTACCCTGTGTACTTTACCTAACCCCCACTTAATGTGTTTCCTATCTAAATTAAACATTCCATTCTTTTCAGCCCCTTTCCAGTGGGGGCTGGCAGGACTGAGAGCATACCAGCAATTTTTCTGCCCTCCTAAGAGCAGTGAAGTATTTAGAAGTGTTTAACTGCTACCTTGAAAGTTGGGCAGATGCTGGCCTGACCAAAGTGGCCTCAAACCCAAAAAGAGCCATGTGCTTGCAGGACTGTGCTCCTCAGCAAGCCCAGGGTCCTAGCAAGGACCTCTGATTTCATTGCGTCAGTGCGGTGGGGACCCCTGATGCTTATTCATCTGCTTTTCTGATATTTTCTCTTAGCATATAACTACGTATATCTTACAAAGGAAATAAAAAAGCCTCACCTTTTATTTTTCCCCTCAACTACACATAGTTGTCTATATTGCTCCCAAGAACCTGCAAAACCCAAAGCTGGGGTGAGTTTAGCTGAGCAGGAAGTTGGTAGCTGCTTTTCATGACAAGGAAACAACAAGTGAAAACAGTGATTTTGGTATTAAAGACTTTTTATTTTTTAATATTCATGTAAAAACAAAAAAATCCTGCCCATCAAACAACAAAACAAACAAAAAAATAAACCCAGTATGCAAAAAAAGACAGAAAAGCTAAGTCTATACTGAGAGATGGGGATAAAACCATAGTAGAGAATATTGATATTTTAAAAATAGGACAGAATTTGCCTCTGCAAAACTAAATTGTTCTCCTTTAAAAACAGATCCTTAGAACAAGTCCTTCACTAGTACCAAAGGGAGAGTCAGCACTGCCATCCAGCAGAGCTAGTGATCTAACCCAGGTGGCAGAAGGGGACAACGTCCAGCCTGAGGTAGGACCAAGAACTTCTGTTGGATGGAAGCTCTCCCCGCCTCTCTGCAAGGTGGCCATCTCCTCCAGCCATCAACCCCTGGTGCCACACCCTGCCAGGCATTCCCTCCTCCTCTCACTGACCTGCTTGAGGTGCAATGTCTCCACATCTCCTGGACATGTGCGGGAGAGGCACCTCCATGTGGTGGTGGAGAGCTGATGGTTATGGAGATCTGGTGAGTACTGTTTGTGCTCACTGGGATCACTGATGTTCAATGAGACAGCCTGCTCCCGATTCATACAAGCCTCTGGGGATGCCAGCTAGACTAGTAGCTTGACTTGCCAAAGGTCCAGCTCTGAAGAAATATTCAGTTCTACCTTTGATCCCTCCAGAACATGAAACCACTCAATGTAACATCAGTATTTCACCAAAAGAATTCTGCCAGTGAACTGCAGAGAATCTATAATCATTACAAGCAGGGCTAAAACCTATTGCAGATACCTGTCAAAATGGCTGCTTTGGAGGTTTTGGAGGTTTTGGACTCCTTTTTTCTCTCTACCTTGTCCCTCAGTAGCCTTTGCTCTGTTCATAGGCACTTTCCAGAGCTTTGCTAGGATGTGCTCTGGAGCCAGATGGGAGGACCTGCTAACGGCACACAGTTCTCCCCTCCCACCTAAGCTCTTGTGTCTCTTCCTCTGACTTCTTCAAAGAAATTTTCTCTCTGATAGATTGACTAGAAGCAGCAATGGCCCACTAAGGAGTTAATCTTCACATCATTGTGGGAAGAATTAACACAAGAAATTCCTGATGTCGGTATGAAGTTACACATCTAATGCTCCCTGGGATTTCTGCTCCAAATGTAACTAATTAATTCTAAATGAGAAATTCTTCTGGCTTCATTAAAAATGACATCTGCAGGAACACCGGTCACACACAGAGGTTTTCAGCTATTACAGCAAATATCTCGCATAGCAATAACAATGGATTATACATGTTCCCTGTAGACATCAGAAGAAATAAATACACTTTGGTATCATGGGTTATAGCAAATGCCTAAGTAACATAAATCAGATTAAATGTCACAGCAGATCAACACTGTAGTACCACCAGCAAAGCAGAGGTATATCTGAGTAAAAACAGTCACCAGGGAGGGAAATGCCATGACTATGGGGTCTGTATGCATTGCCCACAGCCAACGGGACACAACTGAGTTTACTTAAAATACAGAGTAAAATAATACAGGAGACTACTAGATTATAATTTTTGCTTTTCATCCTGCTCCAAAACAACATTGGGGGCAAAACCAGAGCAAAGATAAAATATCATTTCAGCAAAACACTCTTTTTCTGATGAACAGAGGGTGTCAAGGTCACAGGATACTGTTCTCTCCAGACTCTGAGAAAGTAGGGGATTGCCTAATTTCATGAAAGCCTGTTCAAAGGGAAGAAGGCAATGGGGTAGCATCTCTTTTACAACTGGACCATTATTAAACAGGAATTTCAACCTATTAGAAGAATTAGAAAAGGGCACAAGGCACAATCCTGGTCCTGGATATCAAGAGTTTATATATAAAATATGAGCAAACTGTTCTACTCTGAGAGCATAAAAAGGCATCACTTTTGTTATAGACCTCCTTATGGTAGGCATACTAACAGGCAGTCCAATAAAACCGATGTTCATAACAAGCTAGGATACAACTTCAGAGTAGGGGAAACATGATAGAAAACACAGCCCTATTTATAGACTGCTTTGTTTGCATATACTTTTTGCTTCTGAAGTTAAGAATATTTTATAAAAGATAGCACAACTCAAGCCCAGAAAGTCTACTAGACATAATCGTATTTTGAAGGGTATGAGCGTCTTCCATCCTCACTTCGAGGAGCTTCTTCATATCCCGCACCCTTCCTAGTCTTCGTTTCAGGTTCATAGCCTGAACCAACCTTATACGGCCCCGTTCTGTAGGAGATATTCCGTCCTGATGCATTGTAGGACACCGCTTTGTAACTGAAAGAGACATGAAAGATGGCATCAGCCTGTGGAGGGTCTGTGACTACCCAATGTTGCACACTGTGTTCCTGTTTGCTGTTGGGTTTTAGGCAGCTTCTTACTGTTTTAGCACTTGGAGACACAATATGAGCGCAGAGCCAACTGTCCATGGAAAGGCTGCAAGTCTCTTTTATGTTTTTTCATAAACTTATACTTTCTTTCCCCAGAGTAAATCCTTGGCTGAGTGAAGGACCCACCTACAATAACCAGCTGCATAGGCATACAAAGCCCTACCTGGTATAAATCATAGCTCAGCTGATGCAATCTACACCTGCTGATGATCTGCTCTGCAATTTGAAATCAAGGTTACAATTAATGGGCCTGACTTAGCCAGCACACTGCAAATTTTAGATTTTAAGGTTGATCTCTCCTGCCCTCTGTTTGCAAGTCATGTAGACAGGGAAGGTAAATGGTCACTGTTGGCCCATGATACAGGTCAAAACAGGTGTATCATCATGATAACTCTTGCAAGAGGGGTATTAAACTAGACATACCTTGTGGTGCGGTGGCTGTATGCTAACCCAACACCCAAGGTTTCATGCAATACCTTCCCATTTCTGCCATGTATAGGCTTACCGGGATTCTTCTGGAATCAGCCCTCTGCAAGCAAGGCACATCATGATGCCTCCTACGAGGGCCAGGCCACCTGCCACCCAACCAACAAAGAGAGCTGAGCCAAAGGTGTACCTACAAAACACAGAGAAGTGGCTGGTTAGTACTGTGACAGTGGTCTGGTCTGCTTCTTCTGAAACACACTGAACATTGTCATTCTCCCTCTGGCCCTGCAGAAGTTCCCATGAACACCATCCCACATACAAGCTTATCCTCTCAACATCATTCCTGAGCCACGTGAACACAGACACCCCAGATGATTTGCTTGGGCAAATTATCTCCAGCGCAGATAAGAAAAAGACAATACATTTTCCAAGTCCTGGGACCAGACTAATATGCACCCAGAGTTTGCCTTTCCATCAGCCACAGCACACTCTGGCCCTGAGGGAGATGTGCACTGTGCAGCACCCTGAGCCACTTGACCACCTACCTGTTCTGGACATTCTGTATTCCCTGGTACATGTTGGCTGTGGACATCCAGAAGTTTGTGACCAGCATGTTGGCAAACACAGACACTCCAGTGATGGCACACAGGCCTGAGATGAGACAGAAGGACAGACTGAGACCCACAGAATACAAGTAGTCACCTTTGGCATTGGGGAAGCACCTTACAGCTCTGGAAAGGTGGGTGAGGCACCGCTTTGTGTCATGGCATGTACCTTCAGCAGAAGTGGGGACCCCAAATGGGTTACACATTTTTGCCAGGCTTTCTACACATTTACAATTCAGCAGCAAGAACACAATGTCACACTACAAAATCCCAAGTCATGCCATTTTTCTACTGATGTGTTTTCTCACAGAAAATGAGTTTAAGAAACAGATCATTTTAGATGCTGAAAATATCCAGTAGTTCAGTTTTAAAGATTTTTATTTTTTTTTTACAGTGAAAAACATGGACAAAAGATTCCCTATCAGAAATTTGTGGGGGTTTTCTTGTTTGTTTGTTTGTTTTAATGGGAAAACACTCTCTGCCATGTGAAAGAGGAAATACATTTTGTTCACAACCTGTTCATCACCAGGTAGTGATGCCTGCCTGACTCTGCAGGTAGCCTGGAAGACCAGACTCAAGAGGTAGGAGCTTCCATTCATCTGCACAGGCTATCGCTGTGATGCCTGTCTGTGACGAGCCTGACAGCAATGACATGATCACAGAATCACAGAATTGTCTAGGTTGGAAAAGATCTTGAAGATCACCCAGTGCTCTCCTTAGCAGAGTGATTCATGATAACGAAGGTCATTATTGTACCGTACACCACTGTGGAAGGGGGTACAAAACACGGATAAAGGTCATATCAGTGTTTGTTGCCAAAAGATATGGACTCCAGCTTTTCTGGGCATACCAAGTCCTATTGGTTCTTGCTACACCCACCAAGACCTCTGTGTTTTTCCTGAAACCCAAATACTCACAGCACTGGGGAGGGTCTGAGCAATCAGTGGTGCTTCTGCTTCAGGTCCCCATCAGGTTACTTCACTAGCATGGTACTTGTGTCAGTCTTTAACACTTCTGTCCTGAGAGCAGCCCTTATTTTAGGAAGAAACACTACCTCCAGATCACAGAGGTGTGACCAAGGGCCAGGTCCACCATGGCACATGGGTACCCAACTCTTCAGCTAGCTCAGACTAGGGACCTTATTTTGAAATGGGTGAACACAACCAAGGGATGACCCATCCCAAGAGTCAGTCACATCGTTGTCTTAGACAATGCATGAGTGGTCTTTTAGAATATCCTCATTGGCCAAATTCTCAAACCACTGACTCAAATGGCTCAAGTGATAGATTTTAAGTGCAAAATTAAAGCTGTGTTGCAGAAGGTGGTTTCCCCTTTCCAACTTAGATATATTCGTACATCTAAGTTGGAAAGAGGAAAAGTTGTGATATGAGACATACGACACAACTATTGTACATCTTTAAGTTGTGTCATATGTCTCATAACCCCACAAAAGTGAAATGCTGTTCAACTATAAAGATTTTAAATAGGGGCATTCTCCTTCTCTTCGTTAGGACATGGATTTGATTAGTCATCTGCAAAAAAATGTGGAAAAACCTTTGAGTGATGTATTAAGCATTTGCAGTTTTGAGGTAGATGGGCAACACTAGGCATTCCCACAGCCTTCCTGATAACCCACAAGCTAGGCTACCACAGTCCTGAGAGTCTTCATAAAATAATTATGTATAAAGCCCGAGACTCTTCAAAAAACTATTATGTATAAATAAAGGATATAATAATACATAACAACAGTATACATATAACATTAAAACATACGTTTTCTTTTTATCTCTGGGCTGTTTTTTCAGCCTTCGATGTTGTGTCCCATACAAACTTTTAGTTTTCTTTTACCAATCAGTTAGAAACCACTTGACCCCAGGAGACCAGACTGGAAGTCAAATGCCAGTAACTTCATGGAAGCATCAACATTTTGGATTGCTCCAGAGTATCTGCTACCTATGACCAGAAGTGCATGAAGACATGCCCAGTCCTCAATTCCAGGCATTTGCAGTGCTTCACACATGAAAGACACGATACCACCCACTTACCAGCAACAATAAACATGATGCCAGAGGTCAGAGTCATGTTGGCTTTTGCAGAATCCTCCATGCTGCCAATACGGATGCATTTCAGAGCGAAAATGCACACAAGGAGGCCAAGGATGCCCAGGACAATACCCACAATCATGAGTGCCCTCACAGCCTGGAACATTGCTGCAAAACAAATTGACAAGAGCCATGATGAGTGACCGAAATGAGATTCATCAGAGCCTGGGAGGTTTTTAAAGATTGTTTCTGCCTAAAAATAAAACTATTAAATAAGAAAACCTTGGAAAATGGGCACCTGATCTACTCTCAACATTACATGGGACACTTCTGGAAATGTGGCTCGTTGCCTCATCTTCCCACAGAGTTTGATGGCTTAGACATAATTTTTTGTAAATTTGCACTAGTCACAATTTATTCAGCTGGAATTCATGGAGAGGAGTTGGTGTACAGCTTGGATAAGCATGAAATGTTTCATAACTTAATTGATTGAGAAAGTGTTTTTTTTCCTCCCCAAGAGGCAATGGAAGCAGACAGCTCCACCCAATTATTCATGGTATTTCCAACTACTGTGTGACTCAAACATGGAATTCTGTATGTTCCTGCTCTACACTAAGAGTCATATCACAGGAGAAGAGTAAAAGCACCTTGACAAATATTATACATACACTGAGAGCAACAAAGCTTTGGCAATGACCTCCCCCAGCATATCCTTTCCATGGTTAATTGTGATGTCAGTCCTGTCCACATTCATTAATACAACACGCAAATACCCTAGCATTGAATTTGTTTAGCAGACTGCTATCAAGGTGGGAATGCTTGGCTCGAGGCAGGCTGTGATGCTGATGGGACATGCCTGTGGAAGCTGAGCACTGCTCTCAGTCAGCTGAAGGTAACAAAAAGCCCTCCAGACTCCTTTTGCCTGGAGTAGAAAAGAGATGGAAAAGCAAAGGGAAACTTGCACCATTTAAAATGGAGAAGTAAATGGAAAAGGCCATGCATTTGAATATCAGGGTGATTTTCTAATACGGTAGCACATATCCCTTCTTGCACATGTCCCTGGCAGAGACAGGAAGGTGGCAGCGCTGGCAGAACACTGGGAGGGGGTGGTCAAAAGTATTTCAAGGGCTGCTCTTCTTGGCCTGCCATGAGCTCTTGCAACCCTGGGTTTGGCTTTGATGCTTCAGGGAAAATGATGTGGGCTCATGACCAACTGAGGAGGGCAGGCAACATACCCTACAGCCCCAGGGACTTCACTCAGCCTGCCTGTCACCCCTTTTCCTGGGCTGGCCAGGATGACCATAGTGCCCAAGGATCCCATAAGGCCTGACTGGAGCAAGAGAGCAGAGACCAGACCTTGCTGGCCTTGCACAGGTTGGGAGAAGGGTTTATAAACCCTCTACAGGAGGACAAGGATAAATGTTGGGGTGCCCATGTGGGTCTCCTTGTTTGTGGAGTATCACAACCCCAAGCAGAACCTGGCACCACCACACACAAAGAAGCCAGCGGTCTGCCATCCTACAGGCTGGAAATACACCACCTTCTCCCATCTGGCAATCCCACTGGGGCTGCTACTCTTATGACTCAATTTGCCCTTATCAGTTGATAACAAGTGCTAACGAGTCTGGGATTTTCAATCTCCCATTCATCAGCCCCCAGGTGCAAGCTCATTAGTTATTATTCATCAGAGAACAAGAAGCTGGCGGATACGCCTTATCAGCCCTCAAAGGTTGTTCGTGCAGCACCTGATGCAAAGCAGAAAGCTGCAAAGAGAAGAATATCACAGTACTCATTTGTCTTTACAGTCACTTAAGTTTCTTTGCAACTGCTCTTGTTTCATGGCAGGCAGGAGAGGCTGATACTCCAGGGCAGCATAAGACACTACAGATCTTGATAGAAGATCCTTGTTCCCAAGACAGTCATCTCTGGGATGCTTCCTACAAATCTTATGGTTCCTAGATGCCATCACTGCGGTGGTCTCAACCCTTCAAGCAGCGACCCTAAGCTAAGATCTCAGAGAGTTTTTGTAGGTTCCCAGGAGAGATGTTCACAGTGCCTTGGGTGCCCATGGAAGGACACTACAGGCAGGCCAAGCCAAACAGCTCCTGGGATGTTGCACTTCTGCTGGAGCACTGTGTGCCAGTGTGGTGAATCTCCATTGAAAAGGAGTAATCTGCAGCTGTTGGAAAGAGGAGAGAGAGGAGCACAGCAGGGCACAACAGAAAAGATACAAAATAGCCACCAGCAATTTCTCTCTCCATGAGGCTGACTTATGCACCATCTCCACAAAGGGACAGAAAGGAGAAGAAAGTGCTCCCAGGTCTGCTGTGGCATGAAAGCCTCTTCACTTGGCTCATGGGACTGAAAGTGAGAGCTGATTGGAACAAGAGCACTGCAGTTTCAAGTGAATTTGGGCATCCATCAAAAGTCCTCTCAATAAAGCTGCTTTCCAAAGGTGAATGACCTCACCGAGAAGGAAGGAGTGGAAGGGCTTAGACAAACAGGGAGACTAAGGAAAAAAATTGTATCAGGAGCACTAGGTAGCAAACAACCCTACAGTTAAAGTAAAGCACAGAAACTATCTGCTGTTTTACATAGACATTTTGCATGAGGTCAGATAACTTTGCTTCATACCTGCACACATACGGTTGCTCATTTTGCACATCGGATTTTCATACAAAGGGATGGTGCACACAGAAAATAATAAAAATGCAAACTTATTCACCAAAATAAATGTCGGTGATCTGAAAGCACAGTTTGCATCACTGTTTTTCAGATGTAAGTGAAACTGGAGAGTTCTTTCCCCAGCGTTACTATAAGTAGTGAGAGATGAGTGAAGTCAAACAACTTAAAGTCATCTGAACTAACATCACCTGCATTTCTGTTACTAATACAAAATACAAAGGTGGAAATCTAACTTTATGACTAGTTAAGATTAATGGACTATAGAAAGTTTAGGGGAAAAATCTGGGTTTTGAGTTAACCAAATTGAAGTAGGGGCATTCCTTCTTCATGCTTTAAGGTACTCATCAGCTAAATGGGCACATAAAGAGAACAAAACTAATAGAATATCTCTAAGACACAACAGAAAAAGTCTGTGATAGCTTTGTTGCCTTATTGCTATATTACCTAGAAATAACATAAAAAGTAAAATCTTCATTATGATAAATTTGCATCAAAATGATGGTTACCATTGCTTCATTGCTCTTTTAGAAACACAATCACCTATTCATGGCATTATAAGGATATGTATAGCTATTAAGCCACATTTGTATATGTAATTTAATATATGCATCTTTTTATTCTTTAAAACAAATGGTCCCATAGAAGAAGTGACTTCAAACATCAGTTTTGCTCTTCCAAATGAAAAAGAAGTCGCATAGTAATCCTGAAGTACACAGAAACACATTTATTCCATCACACCCCTCGTAATGGTCACAGGTTTTTCTCAAGCAAACACCACAGCCAACGCACCCGTCTTCAGCAAAGCACTCCCTCGTGCCTCACAGTAGGGAAGTAAGGTTGGCATCCCTGAGGATGCAGAGCTGAGAGCCTACATCATACCCTTTTCTACACCAATCAACAGAGGCAAAAGGCCTATGTACATTACTGCTTGCTTGTACCTATCTGCAATTGTGCGCCAAGAGTGAAAAACACTCCCAGGGTCATATTTATTGTTAGCTGGCAAGGCATGGGCACGACAGGTCACAGGGAGGCATGGCAAGCCAGGCTGGCTGCTACCCTCCCATGGGTCCAGCTAGCTCGGGAGCACTGGAATACTCTTGCACGCAGTGGGGTGGGAAAAACAGCTCTATTTGTAAAGTAAGCAAATGAGAAAGTAATACCCCTCTGGAATCTACTTCTGCAACCGCTAAAACTCCCCAGGTAATGTAAAGCGACTGAGCACACCTTCCCCTTCTCACCCTTCCTACACATGCTGCTCACAGGCAGATTTCTTCAATTCCAGTTTTCTCTTTGGAAAAAAAAAAAAAAATCAGTGGTTTTCCATAGAAACCATTATTCTAATAACAATGCAAAATTACACACAACTGTTTTCCTTGTATTTTGATTCAAAGGGAGATAATATCTGTGGGTTTAAACATGCTCACCCTCCTCACATCAGTGGAGCTGTACTGATTTATGCCAGCAACAGAGCTGAACCCATGATGCTCATCCAGAGATCACCTACACATGCTCCAAGTTGTAACCTCCACTGAGTAAAGGTATTATTTTGGTAAAAAAATATGCACATATTTTTATGCTCATACACTGAGTAGCCTGAAATTTTATTCCTCACAAAGTGCTTTAAGGTATCTGCTCCTGCTTTTGGATGAAAATGATGCAGAGCTACAGGAGAGCTCCTGGGTTAAACCTGGTACATCTTTTGCCCCTACCTGGCAGCCCAAGAATGGTGAAATATGGTCGACATTCTGTAAAGCCGGAGCTCTGCCGCACGCAGCTCCTCCACAGTCCCTGATATTGGAAGACGGCCGTGACCGGGTTGTCATACAAGTCCTGCGTGCTCCACATATCCATGGCAGTGGACACAATGCACCCCGCAACACCCAGTGATGAAACGATGAACCCCATCACCTGACAGATGGTTGTGGACATGTTGTCTCCCCCGGAGAGAGGATGTGAGACAGCCCTGATGAAGCCGCAGACCTAATGGGAGCGCCGAAGTCCTCTTGACTGAGCCACCAGAAATACAGCAGCCCTTATCAGATGCTTTCCATTGAGCAGTGTGTTTGCTCAAAGTGTTTTTGCAAGATAGTCCAGTTTCACTCTCGCTGGGTAGGTTTGTGCTGGCAGGGCCAGAGATATGAGCTTTTGTCCTTTAGAAGTGCTTGTCCTTCCCCAGCTAAGCAGCCATGCTCCGTCAAGTGTTAGGCAACCCACTTGGAACATATGTCGTCCCCCCACTGAAACCCTTTGCTCTCCATTGGGCTTTTTCTGCGTGCTTGGCACAGTGCAAATGTGCTCAGAAGGGCAGAGGGAAGTTCCCAGGGGAACTCAGCACCTAGCCCAGCTTACCGCCTCCCCGGCCCTCTGCTTATGCAGAGTGGGAGTAGATCTGCCATCCGACCAAGATAGGGACTTCTCTACACCCAGCCACCCATGCAGGCCTCTGCACAAGAGAGGGATGCCAACGGGGAGCAGTCCAGGAG